AACGGCCAGTTTATCGATCAACCCTTGAGGGGACTGCACTTTGTGCTCCATCAGATCACGCAACAATAGCTGGGCCTTCTCGCGCACCGTGTCTCGACTGTCGCCAAGGCGATCAATCACATGTGGCAACACAGTCGCCGTGTATGCATTAAAGTCGCTGCCCAGCCGCTTGATCAGCTCCGAGAAGGCCTCCAGCGATTTTTGTGCTATCTTGAAGTGGCTGCCCGTCAGCCACGGCATCAGGCCGTCGATGAGGAAGCCCATGTCTGTGCACACAATAGAGTTTGTGTCGTCGCTCAGGAATGTGACCAGATCCTCGGCCAGTGCCACCTTCACCCGCATATCCGCCTTGGGCATCAGCTGGATGAAGCCATCCAGATCGCTCGGCTTGCGGTAGGCCATTTCTGGATTTTTTTAAGTTGTTGCAGCAGCTGCAATAAAATCAAGATGTGGAAAATATGTACTTTAGCTGCAGTATTTGGTAAATTACATTAATTATTTATGTGTGGGAAGGATAGCAGAGGGTTCTCAAGGATGCAGGGCCATAAAAATGGTTCAGTTGGGTGATGTTCTGTTCCCGCCAAATCTCACATTTCCTTTCCGCCTTTCAAACGAAACTCAAATTATTCATTGCGCGCGCGCACTAAAGATGCAAGAGGAAGCAGCAGCAACAGTCGCAAAAAGCGACGAAGGGCAACATTTTCTGTGTGGAGAATGGATGAAGTGAAGTCAGAGAGCAGCTAGAGGACAGCCAGCCAGCGTAGGGGTGGGTGGAGTAGAGTGGAGGGGAGACCATTTAGCTGGTACAAAAGTAGGTGAATGGCTGTGCGTGTGGGAGTGGGAAGTGGGTGTTGGAGATGGGCAGGGATGGGATAGCCGACAGATGGCGGTGGAGTATGGGGATAAGCGGTGGGGCGTTGTTACGGCACAAAACGTGAATCATCTCACGGGCGCCCGAAAGCGTGACGAAGCCAGGCGGGCAGTGGGTGGCTGGGTGGGCAGGAAGCTCAGACAACAACGTGCCGCGGATATGGATTTAGCTTTGGCTTATAAGCTTTACCGTGTACTTTTTGGGCAAAACGACGACTGACAGCGACGCCAGCGTTCCACCGTCTATGGTCGGGCGTCACTGTTCAACAATTTGCGTGCGCCCGCCGCCGCAGTCAGAGCGCGAGAATATTTATGGATACGTAAGTTATAGAAAAATGAGATAATATTGTTGGATGACAACAACAATCCACGACAGCGACTTGTTAGCTATGCTCACAGACAGAGAGAGAGCACCAGATAGCGTGGCAGCGGGAGAGCGACTATAACTGTTTAGCATTGCATACGCAATTTTCTATTTATAAATAAACATCAACAAACACAACTTCAAAGAGGGATGTGGCCCCGCGAACACTGGCTTTCGTAATTTTGTTGTTATATTACCTTAAATTTTTTCCATTTGAACGATTAGATATGGTATGTTTGACTGACAATGATTAACAAAACAAAGGGGGAGGGTAGGGGCTTTTTATTTGGCCCGATCAAATTTAAGGTGTAAAATCAGCTGCAATTCATTCAAACTAAAAACTTGCCGGCCTGCTCAGCACGATCTGCTGCTGCTGCTGCTGTCGACGTCATGCGAAAATGCTGCTGGCGTCGCAGTCGGCTGCTGCTGCAGAGAGAGAGAGAGCAACCAAATTGATTTCTAAATGTCACAAGAGAGTGAGCATCGGAAGCGGAGGCGATTGGAGATTAGGCAGTGTCTTTTTTTAACAAAATCTTTGTATCTTAGCGATACGCATGTATACACACACACGTACTAACACACACATACCTCTATTATTTGCAAATCCGGCTGCGTTGACTGCGCTGCTTCTTCTTGTCGTCACTCTTCGCTCCGCTCTTGAATATTGTTTTTGGGTTGGGCCTAGCAAACAAACAACTGCTGCTTGGTGGCCCCCAAAGGCAATTTGAAGAATTGATTTTTCAGTCGCTGGCCAAACAAACGATTCGCAATGCCCGCAAATACGCGTTTTAAGTAGACTAAATTTATTTTTCAAGCACAGCCAATTGAACAATTGCCCCCCACCTCTAACCGAGAGATCACAGTTCTGCTCTTCTCTTTTTTTCTCGTGTTGTAGTTGTTGTTTTTGTTGGTACAGCGCAGTCAGTTTCACTTTGTCATTTGTTGTTGGCTCTCTACCGTTATTGCTGGAAGTCGGCGTCGCAGTCGGCGTCGACTGAGCATCGGCTTCCACAGCAACAACACCACAAATTCCAACGTCTTCAGCAGCGCTGCGCCTGCTTCAGCTTCTGCTAGCTCTGCGCCTCTCTGCTTTGGTGAACTTTTTTCCTCGGTGACGCGCTCTGGGGTCAGGAATTTTGCACAGGTTTCTCGGTCGCTGAGCGTCTGCTAAGCTCAGCAAACATCACATTTCGTTGCGTATTGGCATTTGGTATTGTTTTTGACACTGCTCTCTTAATTGTTATACACTTCTTACTTAATTTTATCAAGTAAAATTTGCCAGCCCCGTTGCGTTGCGAAAAAAATTAAAATGAACTAGTTCGAGCAGTGTGACCGCGGGCAAATCGATCAAATATACCGTCTGAACAGTGCTGCCAGATTTTCAACTGGAAAAAAGCTGTTTTAACTTGAGGATATCGAAAAAAAGCTTAACATTTTCGGAAAAAAGCCTAATTAATAGTTTTACAACTTTTTTATTAGCTCTGTGAAATTTAAAATGTTTTTTTTTACAGTAGTTCCATTAACTAATGTAGCTCTCCGGAATTATCTTTAGATTTGAATTCGTACAAAATAATCTATCGTAATTTTCTCAATCAATTTCTGAATATTTTCAACTTTTAGGTATTCCAAAATTCGCTAATTCCGTTTTTCTTAGCGCTCGAGATTTTGTTGACGGAAAAAACGGTAAACATGTTAAAATTTCAACAAAATTATAATATATATATATAATTTCAAAATAAAATAATAAAACTGCCACATATTCACACTTTTTTTCTAACCGCAGTTGGGCTTTAAAAAAAGCCAGATCTGACCCACAGAAATATACCAAACTATACTGTCTCATTTTCAAAATATACCTGAACTGAGCTCAAATTATTCAACATTCATTAGACTACAGTCTATAGATTTGCGGTCACATTGTTTCTACGTATTTTTACGCTTTTCGTATCTAGATACTTTGTTTTTTGTCAGCTGTTTCCGATAGTTATCCAAAATTTGATCTGGAATATCTAGAACTTCGTAATAGAAAATAAATAAATAAATATAAATTTTATGGAAAGTCCGTTGCAGGAAAATTGATCCGATGAAAAATCCCACCATCAACCCGGTATTCGATACTATCGACTGGATAGTAGAGCTGCGCGCCTAAGTTTGAATGGGAATGATTGACAATGATATAAACGCAATCCAGATTAAATCATGCAGGAAAGCACGATTTGAGAGCGAAAAGTGAAAAGAATATGATTTAAAAAAAAAAAAACAATTTAAAGCTTTGGAAAAAATACAAGTTTTTAGAAACAAAAACATGAAAACAATTAAACTATTAAAACAAAAAAATTCGGCTTGGTTCACAGCGGAATAAATTTCCATTTTGTTATAACACAATAAATACGAAAGTTCGCGTACAAAGGAAAGGGGGTTTGGGGAAAGGAGAAACTCGATACAGTGCGGGGCGGGTAGTATGCAATGTTCGGTCTTGGGCTGCATGCGCAAAGCTGCGTGTACGCCCACCCTACCGTGATCTCTTGTCTGCCTATTCATTGTAAGAGATCCCTCCCAAAACCGTTACGGTAAGAGTCTGCAGCTTCAGTTCTGGCGCGGGTCCAACACCGAAAGATCTGCGACTGCGAAAGAAAAAAGAAAGCACAAAAAAAAACCCGAGAGAGAGCGAGATTTTTGCCAGCTTACGGGTCGAGCCCTCTTCTGCTCTGGAGCACACTGCACTTGGTGGCTAAGGGGAATTTGATTCCACTTTTGTTGTCGCACTTAGTTTCCCCGTCTTCGTCTTCGTCCCCGGACGCTGAGGAGCGATGTCCGCCGTCACTCTCGCTTGAAGGCCGAAATTGTAGTATCAGTACCCAATACGGCGGTGGTGCCGCTGTGGCTGCAGCGCTCGCTGCTCACCGATGCCTTCTCTCAAGAAGCTTTTCTTTTCGTTATCGTTGGCTTTGATTCTAACATATTAACTAGGGGCCACTCTAAAACAAAAAAAAACAAAAAATGCACAACGAGCGTCAGAACGTGCCAGTGAGGTCTCCGAGGTTTCCAAGAAGAGGGTGGCCCGTGAAAGTACTCACCCTGATTAGGGAACGGCATCCTGCAAAAGTTAAACCGAGGGGCGATTTACTTTTGTAAATTTTCTCTCCTGCAATGCTCCACCGCCTGTAATGGCCAGCGGTGATCAGCCAAAAAGTGGGGAACGGGGTATATACCACCAATTCAAAAATTATTCCTCTGAGAAGGTAGAGAGCGCCGGATCACTCAACTTAATGCCTTGCTGGACACCAAAAGAAAAGAACGACCCAGAACCGGAAACTCTCGGGAGCCGAGGTGTCCACTGCCTCTCCTTTTTGCTTCTCGGCAACCTGTCATTCGCCCTTGACCGCATTCCGCCCCGCTATTTAGGGCCGCTTGAGGGCGCCATACGTGTTCGAGGGTTCCCCATTTATTTAATTTTTTTTCCACGGATCGGACCATCTCGGCACAACGATCGGCAACACATATAACCCCTCTAAACAGCTGTATATCTATCTAAGCTTGAAGGCAGGCTTTCCCCTACGACGTCCAACCGTTCTCAGGAACGCTGTGCGCAACTCAATTCACCCTCGGGAAAGAGGGCTCCTACTTTCAGCCGGCTTTGCCACGTTCGCCAAACGACTCATTACGAAATCTAAACCCATCTTACTTCACATGTGTCAGCGCATTTGATAGCCAGCTGCATAAATATTTAAATGAAATGGAAACCTCTTCAATTACCATAAAGTGCTGAGCTGAGATTTATTTAATCATACTAGTGGGTATATAGGTGTCTGTAGATTCGATTAATGTACTTGCATTGCTAGAAATTCTTTTCATTGTGCTTCAATAAAATGCTATTTCTACCTAACTTAAGTAAATTAAATTATAACGTCTTTATTGACTTGATGGACGGCCTGTGCCCGTCCCGAGGGGTCCTCCGGACAGCCCCAATCCAGGCGTGGCACCCACCTGACCACCGTGCGGGCCGCTCCCTCGACCGGGAACTGCTCCTCGAAGATGCATCGATAGTAGAATGCCTCTTTTGTGGTGGGCGTGTTGAAGGGGAATCTGCGGGTAGCCTCGGCGAACTCCTCGTCTCCCACGTGACTGGTGGCCACACGGCGGATGCTATCAATCCAGTCGTAGCCGACGCCGTCGGAAAACTGCTCCTTCTGGCGCCAAAGCACGTCGTCCGGCAAATAGTTTTCGGTGAAGGCAGCCCGCAACACGTACTTCTCAATGCGCCTCAAGGGTCCTAGGGCTTCGGCAAACGCGTTGAGCTCGCCAGGAATCTTGTCCTGGGGCCGGATCTGCATCACATGATTGACGAAGCCCGTGTCCAGGAAGGGTACGCGCAGCTCCACGCCCTTGGCCATCGCCACCTTGTTGGCGCGCAGGCAGTCGGAGAGATGTAGCTGCTGTACGCGCTTTACCAGCTCCTGGTGGAACTGCTCGCAGTTGGGGGCCTTGTGGAAGTACAGGTATCCGCCGAAGATCTCGTCCGCCCCCTCGCCGGAGAGGATCATCTTGATGCCGGTACTCTTGATGTAGCGGGTCAGCAGCAGCATTGGCAGGCTGCAGCGCACAGTGGTGACGTCATAGGTCTCCAGGTGATAGACAATATCGCGGATCCCGTCTAGGGCCTCATCAATTTGAAAGACGATCTCCTTGTGGTCACTGCCGATGTACTTGGCCACGTGGCGGGCCGCCTTAAAATCGGGCGCATCGGCCAGACCCACAGAGAAGGTCTTCAGGCGATAGTAAGGGTCCTTCTCCCGCATGATCTTCGTGGCGATCGCGGCAATCAGGCTGGAGTCCACGCCCCCCGACAGCAGAGCCCCAAAGTTGACGTCGCAGTGGAGATGTGTGCGCACCGCCGACTCCAGGCTGGAACGGAGTAGGTTCAGGTCGCAAGGGTTGGTAGGAAGTTCCTTGATCCAGGATTGCTGAAAGTGCCGGAAGGTTCGCATCTCTCCCACGCGTCCGAAGCGAGCTTCGCCCGGCGTAAACGTCTCCACTTTGCTACAAGTGTCCACCAAGCACTTCATTTCGGAGGCCACCCACATGTTACCGGCCTTATCCTCGCCGATGTACATGGGAATGATGCCAAAGGGATCCCTGGCAAGGAGCACTTGCTTCGTGCGTTTGTCGTACAGGGCGAAGGCGAACATTCCGGTGATGTGGCTCAGTAGATCCTCCCCATAGACCTCGTACAACTCCAGGATGACGTGACAGTCACTCTTCGGCTTGTAGGTTCCAAGCCGCTTTGCTATCTCCGCCGACAGCTCCAGGTAGTTGTAGATCTCTCCGTTGGCCACCAGCACCACGTTCCCATCGTTGGACACAAACGGCTGGTCACCCCGCTCCACACCCACAATGCGCAGACGTTCGTGGACCATGGCCACACCATCCTCTGCGATGACATGGACGCCAGTAGAGTCGGGGCCACGATGCCGCTGCTTTCCACTCTGGCGGTAGGCCATCTCGCGCAGACTATGCTTGCTGCCGTGCAGAACCTGCGTGCCAACAGGCTTCGAATCCCTTGAAAATATTGCAAAAATTCCGCACATTTTGTGTGTTTTGGCGTATTTCCGTATTCAGAGTCGAGCGACGTCGTCTGCAAGAAAACGATATGGAAATTAGTGCGTTGTTTGATCCTTCGCTGCTTTATATTCTCTATTGCTGACTTCCACGCGGGTTTTATTGCATCAGTTTTAGCTCTAGTGACAGTTTGGCCACATTTATTTTTAAGCAAATCCAAAATTAGCCCACTTAAGCCCCCTATTTTTAAATGGTTCAACTACTTGAGGTAAATGGCGGAAAATATTAACGATTTTAAATTCTTCTTGTAAATTCATGCCACCTTTCCTCTGAGCTTAAAAAAACCATGATATCTTTCACCTGAACTGCGCTAAAATTATTAAATTTGCATTATGAATTGTTTTTATTGAATTGTGGCCGCAACCTTTGTACATGTTGCTGCAGCATTATGTTTAGCAATACATTTTTGACGATTTTCATTGACTGAAAGCAAAAATCGCGTCGTTTCCGTTTCAACACCGTTTCAGTTACCAAAACCGTTTCCGTTAATGTGCGCTATATTTAACTCCAACCACATGAAAAAATAAGTTTATATGGATATATTTAGGGATATTATCGATTTTTTTTCCTTTGTATTATGTAAAGGTTGTATTTTATTTTATAGCTAATTTCTTTTATTTTTCACACAAAATAAAAAAATTAATGGATAAAATTATTTCTAAAGACTTAACAAAATATAAAATATCATTCAGAATCACATTATGGTTGTAAGAGTCCGAAAGCAGGCTTAAAATCTCGGAGTTCTCTAAATTCCGATCAGTTGGGAGGTCGATTCGAGGACTAAATGACTATCCATGGATTATGGGAAAATCCTCAAGTAAAACGAACTCTATTTTAGTGAGTGCTGCCACTAGAAAAAGGTAACGGCCCATCGTAAACTGAAGAAGCCACGTCTAGGGAATGCTCTACTCCATTGCTTCTTGGGACCGACGATCGTTAATGGCCCTGTTGAGTGGAAGATGACGATGTTTTTAAACAATAGACCATTCTACGAATTTTATGTGGATACTACTGCGGCACCACATAGCTGTGCACCGCATGTCGAAAGTTTGGCATTTATCCTACATTTGCAGCACTACAGTCCGTATCATACTTCCGAGACCTGTAGATCTGAACTCCGGGCAAAGCTATCGTAATCAAATTCAACTTGTGCTTCACCAATCGTCTTTGGCGCATATATTCTGTCATATAATATGCCTTTTTTTCTCAATTTAAAGGAAACGGTTGTAGTAGTTGGGAGATTCTTCGAAACTGATCTGCAAAGCGTTAAGAGGGGTTAGAATGCCACCAAAAATACTGGAGTAAATATATATATTAAAAGATTTCTGATAATCTCCATGTTCTACCATAACCCAAGAAAAATTTCAGAAAAATTTAGTTTTAGCAGTGTAAAGACCTACACTTTTGTGCTTGTCATTAACCATCCAAATGAAACAGCTAGAGGATTACGGCACCCCCAAATCCCACGCAGACTCAAACGTCTTCACTCATCGAACATAAAAAATAGAAAAATTTGCTGAATAACATATCATTAAAATGTATATTAGATCATAGTTTAAGTAAAGCTGATTTCTAATAAAATAAAAACAAAATATATATACAAAAAAAATGTGCTTGTACACGAAACTAGCAAAGGTATTACATTTGTACTGTATTTGGTATTGTCTTGTATTTGATGAGACATTGTGCTGGTAAGCATATAAAAAGCTTTCAGAACAACTTTGAAGAAACAAGCTCTATAAAGCTAGCCGAAAGCTTCAATTAACAGACTTTTAAGCAAACAGGTGGTTGCTGCAGGTAGGTTCACGTCAGATTTTCGGTCCATGCGATAAATAAATATGTCAGATAGATAAAAACTAAATCTCCCATATTTAATTATGCAGACATTTTAATTACGCATCTAACACTGAACCAACACCCCCCATCCGCCCGATGACGTCACGGTGGATGGGGTAGGAAGGGGGACAATGGCGGTAAACCAATATCGGAGGCGCCCCGAGTTTCGCTTCTGGGCTTGCAGCGTGCGCGCTTGTTGCTTCCAATGTCTCGTTGCCGCCGGTTTTCGTTGTGTCAGCACCGAGCGACCGTTCAGTAGCCGAATGAACGCGACGCTGTGCGGCAGGAAGTTGCGTATACGCCGCATTGCCATCGGAACACACCGGAACGAGCACTCGGAGCTGTCCTATTACCGATTTGGGCGCGCGCTAGGTTCCTGTTTGAAAGTCAGCCAAGGTGCTAAGTGCGTGTAATTACATGAAATGCAGATAATTGAAAATACATTTTTTTTAAATTTAATTACATTGAATCCATGGCAAGCCGAAAATTTAATTTTCAAAAGTGATTCCCGGCGGGAAATTGTGCGACAAATACTTGAGCGTTGAAGCCCAACAAGCAAAATTTTCATTAATCAAATTAATTTCCAATTAAAACCAAGGCTGCACATTGATAAACATACAATTTAACGCAAAAATATATTGAAAAAATAAAACATAGTTAAGTATCTGTACCATTTACAGGCATTTTAAAAAAGTGAAAACTTTTTTTTTTTTCTTCCTTATAAATACTAAACCGCTTGAAATTGATGACGAATTATTGAAATTATTCACTCGAACGCTGGAATCCTCTAAATGGGAAACAAAAACATAAAAGTTTTGCAGTAAAAACAACTTTTAATACCGCAAAAGTAAAGGTAAATTTATTTTGTTCCAAAAAAATATCAAATCAAAATCAAATAAAGCAAACTTTTGATTCGGGGCCGGCCAGGCCAAATATCGAAACGCATCGACTCGAGCATGACCTATTACTGTCACGTCCGTATCCGGGAATTCACTAACAACAACAACAACAACAACTTTTGGGTCACGTTTTGACATTCGGCAAGGCCCAGCTAGGATCCCACATCCGACAACAACGAAAAATTAGAGCCACTGCAAAGTTGAGGCCAATTAATTAAAAAGTTTTCACACGGCCAAAATCAAATCAACAATTTCCCCAAGTATTTAGGCGTAAAATTCGAAATTTGTCCAAAGCTTTCAGTATTTCATTAGATGCGAAAATGGAATGGTGAGCGCAGGAAGGCGATGGATGTGTCCTGTTGTTGGAGGATTGTTGTAGATGGATGCTAGGATGTGGAGTTGTCTACAGCTGGAAATGAAAATCAATCCGCATTATTGCAGCTTCGCTGAGTTTTCCGAAAAACCTGCGACTACACACACCCCCGCCGGCAACTCTTTCGGCTTCGTAGACGCAAATACATTTGAGGTTGTAAATATGCACGAATCAAGGGTTGATTAGACGCTGATGGACACCTGCCGTGTCTGGTCTGGTCTGGTCTGGGCCGGCTAGGTGATGTGCTTGACCCTGCGCCCGTGTTGACCCTAAAAATAGGCATGTACAGCCTCCACGCGGTCTATATTTAATCTTTCTCCCAATGTGGATCTTAATTGGTTTTCTGCTACTGCGACTGCGACTGCGACGTGACACAAATTGTGGCCAGGCCGTTAATTTTTGGCCAAATATGAGTTGTATGTGGCAAAAGTCCACACAACACCATACGTAGTCTACTTTTCAGCCTTTAAGGACACGCCTTTGGCTAATTGGTATGTGTGTGTGAGTGTGTGTGTGTGTTGGTCAGTATGTGCCTGTTTGTCATAATCAAATGTGCGACTGGTCATGTCTGAGCACGCAAGCAGAAACCGTTTCTCTGGTGTGAGGGCCACCCTAATGACAGGGTGACTAATCGGGCCAACAGAAGGCAAAAAATTGCGACTACTGCAGTTCTTAATTAGTAATTTGACGCATTATGCGGCAAAGCCGCAGGATTAGTCTCTAAAAGGTAAAATGTACCGGAGACTCGTTGACTCGGAAGCCAACGGCAGAATGATACATATTAAGTTGGGGAAGCTCCTTTGTGGGGATACCAGAACGTTCAGAGCGTTCAGAGCGTTCAGAGCATAGAGTCAAGGACTAAGACCACGTGTTAATAGCTAATTAATTGGAGCTTATTGTGCCAGTATAAAGTCCAGAACTAAATCTGTTTTATAGTTTTAAGCTTTTGAATGAATTGTCTTTGCACAAATTTCATCCAATCAAATGGAAAGTTATCTGCCTTTCTTTATAGTCAGCCTCATTGTCAATCCGTCAGGCCAATGGCAATTGAAATTTATACATAATGAGGTCGTGACAAGCACGGCCCCGAGACGAGCTCAGACTCAGACTTGACATTGAGATGTATAATGTACAAGATGCACTACTCAGTAGCCAAAGCCAACGCCAAAGCCAACGCCAAAGCCAAAGCCAAAGCCAGAGCCAGGGGCAAGTTACAGACACAGAAGACCGAGGATACACAGATTACAGTACAATACAGGAATCCGAAACATCCTGCAGTTATTTTTATGCTTGAATCAATAAGACGCATTCAAGAAGGTCGAGGTTCCGGCAAAGGCAGTGGATAAAAACCTGTTGAACGGATGCCCAAGCCTCTAGGCGGAAGAAAATCGGACAAAAGCTTTGCTGGAAAAAATTTACTTCGATTCTGCTATGGGTTTTTTGCTGGGCAAAAAAAATTTAATGAATTTATTTATGCTTCAATCACACAATTCACACAACGACGATGGCGTCGCCCTCAAGAAAGCAATTTGATGGGAAAGGCCTTGAAAGTTACATTCATTCATTCAACTTTAGGCGGTTTAATGGGGAGAGGAAAGTCTGGAGAATCGAGAGCAGGTATCGCGGCGAGGGGCAGGAATTTAATATGCCCAGCGACAAGTAAATAAATGTAAAGTATCCGCCAGGGATTGTATGGGATGCCATGGCGTACACTTAATATACGTTTCACTGCACCTAGAAGCCAGGAAAGTTTACCTACGGAACCAAACCGTCCTCGCTAGACATGTCGCTAAGCAGAAGCGCTCAAAGGAACACAAGAAGATCTGAACAGGGAGATAGGAAGGATCAGCAAAAGTTTCTGGATACTTTTTAGCTTACTCGCATCAGATAAATGACAGAATAATTGCCTCCTCAGCCGCATTTAATTACGTTTCAGTTTCGACCATACTAGACGAAACTCTGCCAAAAAG